TAATCCCATTATGTGTGAAAGTACATATTGTTATGCTTACCTGATTGCTACAAGTATATAGCTGTGTGGAAAATAAACGACAGCATGCAGTTGCAAGTGCTGCCTTTGCTCTGCATCCCCTGTGTCCCGGTGATGTCGCCGCCCTTACCCAGGGACCCCAACGCACTAGACGTTGACAGTACCCTAACCAGTGGAGGAGAGCAGAGCACATCTGATCCAGCCTCTGCACAGCCAGCACAGTTCACTTGTCTGAATGTGCCCCACTACTCTGGATGAGGCCAGTGCAGAGAGGTCAGAGCCCATAGAACCTGGTGGTGGCAAGAGCCCCAGCCTGTGAGTCCGTGGCACCGATCCCCAGTTCCTAGCTGTGTAACCGTAGACAAGTTTCTTAACCTGTCTACACCTCAGTTTCCTCCTTTATGGACAAGGCTGGTTCTGTAAGTGAAGTGTGAACGGGACGACACACGTACCATAGCACCCGCCATGTAAATGTTAGTGGTGCCAGATGATTGCACATACTTGAGGCTCCTCATCTTTATTCTAGTCCAAGGTCAAGAGTCCAGTTAGAAGTTAACCATCCATCTTCTCCCTGCCATCACTAAGTCAGTGACCTACCAACGACCGTTCCTTGAAGCCCTCTTGCGCAGCAAGTGGTTTTACAGGTAAGTCCTTCCTGCAGGTCCTGCTCTCTGATTTAAGGAAATCACAGACTCCCTTCTTCTCATTCTGTAGGTAAGAGGGGTAGGGTAGCTCATGTGAGGGACAGGAAGGTCGGAGGAGACAGACTTGCCCAGGCCCCACCGTACGTGAGGAACAGAGCTAGGCTTGGAGTTTGGGACATTTGGTGGCCCTCCCCGTACCCCATCCCTCACTGCAGCCTTAAATTGGTTTAGAGCACCTAACGTTTCTGTTTTTATTCAGTTGGTTGAGTACTAGTAATAACTTACAAATCCACAGGGAAACCAGAGTACAGCAGTTCTGGTTTGACAGAAGTAACGTATGAACAATACAAAGTTAGCTGGATGAAACAGCACGTTAAAGGTTCAGGTGCACCCGCACAGGGGTAGCTAGAAAGAGTCTGTGCTCGCTGTCCGTGTCTGAAGAGCCTGGTGCGGCCCGGCAGGGTGCGTCACTTCCCCGCAGTGCTGTTCTGCTGCTGCTGCTCGGCCAGCGCTTGCTGGAGGCGCATCCGCTTCCGGGAGTAGTGCTGCCAGTGCAGGATCTGCTGCTCGTCAATGAACTTGGCACACTGAGCATTCACCAGCTCCTTGCGAAAGTGTTCGTACTGGAGCAGCTCTAACATGTGCAGACACTGGGGGTACCTGGGTTAGGGTTACAAGTTAGTCATCAACATGATTTAGGTCAGTAGCACCAAGCTGCAATCCACTCACTCACTCAAAAACCATCCGGTAGCCTACCATCTCTAGAACGTTAACTCGGTTCAGTTTGGTAGTACGGGGTTCTGTGTTTCCTGCTTCTGCAGAAAAGCCGGTCATCCAAAGTCAGCAGGAAGCAACATTTTCAAAAGTGAAAAAACTTAAGTTCAGAGAGATTAAATAACCTGCCCAAGACCACACAGTAACTGGTAAGTAGAGTCAAACTCTGGGGGCAAACCATGCTATTTTAGTGGTGTGAGGAACATGAACACTTTTTAACTTTAGAAATTATCTGTTTAACTGATAACTACTGGTTTTCCATCAATAGTGATAAAGACAACTTTTATTTAAAACTGAGTCCGTTTTACAAAGAACTATGCACGATACTGTGTTCTAGTCTTCCACAAGGACTTACTTCACATATACTGTAAGATTGCGCAACCGTGTCAGTAAATACACTGTAAAGAGAGCCAAGCTTCCAACTATCCAAAAAGGAGTTACAAGGAAGGGGGGAGGCTAGAATGGACTGTGTTATGGAACTACAATTGAAAACATCAGCATGAACCCCTGGCTTTTCACATAGAGACACAGAAACAGACAAGGATTAGAAGTAGACACAGTACACACACACACACACACACACACACACACACACACACACACACACACACACACACACCCCTTCTTGGCTGTGCAGAGAGGGCCTAGAAGAAATGACTGTGGTACCAACAAGCACACTCAGCGCCCAGATCATGGATTTTCAATAGCACTTTCTAGAGCTCCTCGGGGGAAATGGTTGACTGCAGGGTTAAAGTACAAGCTGAGCTGGGAACATCAGATAATGGCAGAAAGTAAAAGTGCTCAAAAAAACTATGGGGTATGTCCCAAGTACTCAGGAGCCAATCTGAAGGGGCTCCTAATGGCCACATCTGGAATCGTTAGAGCAAGAAAACACATAATCATAATCCAGAAAACAAAAGTAAGAATCCAAGAGTCCATGCTGATGTAACTCTTGTAAATGAATAAATAGGGAATAAAAGAATGTTTCTTCCTTACACCTAAATTACAATAAATGTAGAAAGAACGCTAGAAAATCACAGTAAAAATTGTTTCAGGCAGGTATCAATAGATGCTAAAATTAGTGGGTGAAAGTATGATATGAAACAAAGTATATTGTCTCAAAGTATTTCCTCACAAGATACTTATTAAATACAAAGGAAACCTGGTAACTTGATAGGGAGAAACCTTGCAGCCACACCTCAACCAAGTGATCAAAACTAGTATCACCAGTAGTAGGTCAAACTGACTACTACTGATGGGATATACCAAGAAGCCTACAATATCACTTCTGGGTCACAGTCATGGGGGGGGGGGAGCATCAAGAAACTCAGATTAAAGACTAAGAAGACACAAAGGCAAAACGTAGCATAGTGGCCTAGACTGGATACTGTCCCAGACACAGGACATTAATGAGCCAGGGGACAAAATCAGAATGAGGTCTGTAGACTAGGTAATACATTAATGTTCATGTTCCCAGGAAGATGGGAACATTTACAATACCTGCGTGAAGAATATATAGGAATTCTCTTTATTTTTCCAGCTTTTTTTTTTCTTTTTTTAATTGTCAGAGACAGAAACAGCACAGGCAGAGGGAGAAGCAGGCTCCCTACTGAGCAGGGTGCCTGATGCGGGACTCGATCCCAGGACCCCGGGATCATGACCTGAGCCGAAGGCAGATGCTTAACCAACTGAGCCACCCAGGCGTCCCTTTTCCAGCTATTTTCTAAGTGACATTATTTCAAATAGAAAAGGCATGAAATCTAAGTGAATTCATTAAAAACCTTCTATAGAGAGCACAGAGAGCCAAAACTGTGAAGTATACAAATGGCTAAAATATGAAAACAGGATGGGCTCATGACTCACTTTTTTTTTTTATTAAAGATTTCTTATTTATTTGACAGAGAGAGACACAGCGGCGAGAGAGGGAACACAAGCGGGGGGAGTGGGAGAGGGAGAAGCAGGCTTCCCGCCGAGCAGGGAGCCCGATGTGGGACTCGATCCCAGGACCCTGGGACCATGACCTGAGCCGAAGGCAGACGCCCAACGACTGAGCCACCCAGGCGCCCCTCATGACTCACTTCTTAAATGCAGAGTGTGACTTAGTAGGTCCGGGTGGGGCCTGAGCCCTGCATTTCTAAACGAGCTCCCCAGTGACAGCAAGGATGCTGACCTGAGGACCTCACTGCATAGCAGGGCCCGATACCAATGCCGTCCCTCCAAGATAATAAAGGCGCACTATCTACACTCCAAAGATAAGAGTTGCTTGTAGCTATTGGGAGCTACGCCTCAAATGCCCTGCTCACACCTGACCTGGCTCTTCCCTTTCCATGCAGGCACTGGTAGTTAAAAAGACCTGGGTTTGAGGGGCACCGGGGTGGCTCAGTCGATTAAGCATCCGACTCTTGATTTTGGCTCAGGTGGTCTCAGGGTCGGGGGACGGAGCCCTGTGTTGGCCTCCACGCTGGGCATGGAGTCTGCTTAAGATTCTCTCTCCCCCTCTGCCCATTTCTCCCCCGCTCCTCTCTTAAAACAAACAAACAAAAACACCCGGGTTTGAATACCAGCTCTGCCACTCAACAGCTGGGGGCCTTTGTACAAGGTACTCAGCCTCTCTCGGGTTTAGCTTCCTCGTCTGTAAACTAATGTGACAACCAAGAGAATGGTCTCAAGTGGCATTGAGTCAATAAACGGAATTTAGACACGCAGTGATCATTTCTCAAACTTGGAAAAGACAATGCTCAGAGTACATTAAATGACAGAATAAGAATTGATAAATATTTTGATCAGCTACAATTACAGCATTAACCAACAAGAGCAAATAAAAGAAATACAAAAGGAAAGTTCTACATTTAAATTTTTAAAAAGTAAAACACAAATGGAGAACTCCGTTAACAGCACTGATGAAGAACTGAAGGGTTCAAGTGGACATAAAATTCTCAGTAAGTCAGCAATGTGCATCCTTGCCCCTTCTCCCCCAACAAAAAGGTAACATAAACTCAAGTTACACTTACCGAAGGGTAATGCCCACATGAAGAAAAGAAACGTATCTGCTCCAGCACACCCTGACCACATCTGAAGGCCTGTGTTTAGCTCCTGGCTGAACAGTGGAAGGCACAATTGCAAAACATCCAAAGAAGGGCACCCGAGAAGTGGCCGAAGGGGGCTGAGAAGAGCAGATAGAAGCAGCCCCCTACAGGTGCGGGTGCTGGCTCCTGCTGGAGCAGATGTCTGCGCGCCGTGGCTGCCCCTCAGACCAGGCAGGCACCAACTTGGAAGCACAAGGACCTGCAGTTCTCGGCTTTTCCAGAGTTCGGATCATTGTGAGAGACTTCCCAATCTTTCAGTGGTGGCGACTACTACACAAACAAACCCTGTACAGACTGAATGTCCACAGGGGTTAACCTGCAACCTCTCCTGAATGGGAACATCGGAAGGGCAGTTGCCTCCAGAGGGCACAGACTGGTTCCAGATTAATTCAGGGACAAAACCGGAAACATGGGTTGAAGCTACACCGGGATATATTATGTCCCAAAATAAGGACAAACTTTCCAGCATCCAGCTAATGGTGGACTCGGGCTGTCCCTGAATAGAGCAACAGGTGCTCACTTGGTCCGCTCCAGAGTGCAGACGGCCAACCCAGCAAGGCTGTGGGGGAGATGTCTGACTGAGCCTGTGGCTCCGTGTCCACACAGTTGCCAAGTCCACACACACACACGACACCTAATAAAAAGTCTTTTCTCTGGATTATTAAATGAGTAAGTGACTGTTTATAAAGGACGAGTAGGGGTGCAAAGGGTCCTGCAGGCAGAAGGGTGTGGGTTTTGTGAATCAGTTGACACAGATCAAAAATGTGGCTTGAATAAAGGACAAGTTTGAATCGGTTTCCTATCAAACATGGTTTAAAAAAAAAAAGACAAGAAGTTTCACTATTGCTTTCTGACTACCTACTTAAGACAAAGAAGAGCTGAGAGTTCAAGGTTTAAATAAGTACAGTGCTTGGCACACAGGAGGCCTTAAAAACAGCAGCTACAGACATACTGGTTTGGTTTTTTTGATTTTCTGTTTACAAATTAAAGGTTTGTGGCAACTCTTCATCGAGCAAGTCTACAGGCACCATTTTTCCAACCACACTTGCTCACTTCATGTCTCTGTGTCACATTTTGATAATTCTCACATTTCAAACTTTTTATTATTATCGTATTTGTTATGGTGATCTATGACCATGACTCCCTAAAAGCTCAGACTATGGTTTAGCATTTTTTAACAGTATTTTTTAATTGAGGCATGTACCCTTTTTTTGACTTAATACTATTGTACACTTAATAGCCTGCAGTATAGTGTTAACATAACTTTTAAATGCACTGGAGAACCAAAAAACTCATTTGGCTCAATTTATTGCGATATTCACCTTATTGCAGTGGTCGGAAGCAAACCCACAATATCTGAGGCATGCCTGTATTAAGAGTCAGGTAAGGTCACTTCCTCCAGAAAAATCTTCCTTGTGAGTACCCCATGTTCTTTAATTTTCAGCCTTAGGCAATACCACTGCACCTATAGATTGTGGGTTCGTAAGGGTCAGAAACCCAGTGAAATAAAGTAGTTAAGTAATTGGCCTTTGTGTTTCAAACCAAGCAGCTATTTTGTTTATGCTAAGCCTTGTACATGGTAGCCCCAGCCACACACATTTTAAGATAAAGTCAAAAAACAGAGCCAGATCATACAGGGCTTTAGTCCAAGAAAAGAGAGAGGCCTTTGTTCTGCATGCAATGGGAAGCCACTGAAAGGTTCTAAGCAAGAAAGGGTCATGTCGTAATTCACACTTTTGAAAGATCAAGTTGGCTTCTGTGTAGAAAACTGTTCTGCTTGGTCTGGCTTGGGGGAGGGTGGACCCAGGAGGAGGGAAAGAGCAGAAACAGGGATAACCAGGGAGTGGGCACCGCAATAATCCAAGTTGCAGGTGAGAACGTCTTGTATTAAGGTGGAGGCAACTGAAAGAAGTGGAGAGATTCAAAATATATTTTTTCCAACACAAAACGAGAAAATCTGTGAAATAACATGTTTTGGAATATAATAAACTATACATATATTTAGGACTATAAAAATTAAACTTACTTTAGATACTTGGCATATTCTGGTTCTTTCCAGTAAAGCAAGTACTTAAGATAATTAACAAAAGCTTTGTCTTTGAAGTAACCTCTTTGGGCAAGAACTGAAAGGCATAAAAAAAAAAAAAAATCTGTAGAGCAAACCAATCTTCGGACTACTGATTTGTGACTCCTAACATAAAGCATCTGCTTAGATAACTTCCCCACCCCCGACACACACTGAATTCACAACATAAGCCCCAGTTTGTCCAACAGACACACATTCCCGTGTTCGTGTGGCAGTAACTTCACTGGACTGAGTATATGTAAAAATAGGTATTAGGAATCGCAATTCTTCCGTCAGAGATCACTAAAAGCTACCCAATTCAATAAAGTGCTCAACAACTTACAGTTAAGGTAATTGGGGTTGGCTAAGCACTGCACAAATTCCAGCTCCAACTGAAACCGAAGTCGATTTCCAGCATCATCTAGGAGGGAAGACAGCAAAAATCACCCAAAATAAAGGTCACCATGTATAATCCTGGTTTGTAGGAAGAAAACGGCAGTAGGGACTTGAGTTTGCCGAGGCGTATTTGTGCGTAAGTTCGGGCCCGGGAGGGTGTTCCTAAGCTGGGAGTGGGAGCAGATAACCCGTCCCTGCACGCCCAGGGAAAGCAGAGCCCTGACTCACGAGACCGCGTTAGAAGCTCCTCTAAAGAGAAGTCGTCAAAGGACACAGGTGCACCCACAGGGCGGGACAGTCACCCCTGGGAGCCCCCGCCGAGGGTCTCCCGAGCGTGACCAATGCGGGAAGGCTGTAAGAACCGCGCCTTCCTGCGCCGCCACAACTGAGCGCTACGTCCACCAGGAAAACGCCTAGAAGGCAAGGTGCGCAAGGGTCGCCCGCGCGCGCGCCTGTGCAGGAACCGTCACAGGCACAGCAGCGCACGGTCTGGCCCGTCTCAAACCTAAGCAGGCTCCCCCGGGACGCCGAAAACCAGCCAGGAGGAGGCGGGCCAGGATCGCGCCCTCCCGCTGGGGCCTGGCCGGGCGGCCGGGGACCTGGGGTTCGGGGGGACCTGGGGTTCGGGAGGTCGGGGGAGCGGGGGTCAGGAGGCCGGGGCCGGGCGGCCGGGGACCTGGGGTTCGGGAGGTCGGGGTGGCGGGGGTCAGGAGGCCGGGGCCGGGCGGCGGGGGACCTGGGGTTCGGGAGGTCGGGGGGGCGGGGCCGGGCGGCCGGGGACCTGGGGTTCGGGAGGCCGGGAGGGGTCGGCGTCTGCGCGGCAGGTGAGGAGGAGGGAGCCGCGGGCAGGAGGCCCGGGGAAGCGGGAGGAGGTATCTGGCCCGGGGTAGCTGTGTTTGCGAGGGCTCCGGGCGCTCCGTACCTGTCTCCATAGCGACGGCCGCAGCCATCCCGAGCAATAGGCGCTGAGCCGCCACCAGCCCAACGAGCAACCGCCCGCAAGTTCCGGAAGCCGCGGCCCCTCTTCCTGTCGCGGGGCACTGTGGGATGCGGGGCGGGGCGGGCCCGCTCAGGCCCCGCCCACCGGCCCCGCGCAGACTCCCAAGAGGCGAGAGGCGGAGCTGGGCGCCCCGAGGGCCCGAGGGTCAGAAAGCCTGCGTGTTGACCCGGCCTCCGGCCCCCGGCCCCCGGCCCCGCAGGCCCACCGTGCGCCTCCTCCACCCTGGTGCCTGCGGAGACGGAACCGGGGTGGCGTCCCTCCTTACCCTGTGACGTAGCCTCGGGGGTCCCGAGCGCCTCGGGGAGGGCCTGCAGCGCGGACACGCCGCCCTGCTGGGGGTGCTCTCCGTCGGGGGGCCAGCCCCCCGCGGCGCTCAGAGAGCGCGCCCCCCGCCCGGGGGCACCCCCGCGGCCCGGGCGCGGCCGGTCGGCGCCCCCCCAACGTTGGCCCGGGCGCAGGTGCGCCGACCCGCCGGCCGCGGGGTCGGGCCTCGGCCAGCACCGTCCAGCGCGCGGTGCCCGGGGCCGCCCTGCCGCTGACCCCGAGAACCGCCTTTCCTTGAAGCCAGCACTAGAGGTTTTCAGGCCCGCGATACTCCATCAGTTGAGTTGATGGATGCGGAGGCTGTTGGCCCCCAACAACCTTCCTGGCTCCAACCTTTGGGGACAGGGAACAAGCCGAAATCGTGACCCGTGGAAGGATTACACGCCGACCGAAAACGCCGAGGGGCAAGACGCAGACCATTAATTAACTAATTGGCCTTTGTGTTTCACACCAAGCAGCTCTTTTGTGTATGCTGAGCCCCGTACATGATACCCCCAGCCACAAACGTTTTAACGTTCTAATATACGTCAGGTGTAGTTAAAAGTGACGCATGAAGGTCAACGACACCCACAAAGGAGAGTAATCTTGGAAGGGAACCTGACCCCAGGTCTCAGGAGGGGGGGGAGGGGAGGACTCTGTGCCGGACACTTGGGCTGTGGACCAGGCAGACAGGGTCCCGGCTCTCCGGGGCTCACGGTCTGGTGAAGGGGCAAATGACAAATGATAGAAAGACCATTTTCTGTTGTGCTGAGCACAGGTCACGTGACAGAGAATCCAGGCGGGGGGCTCTTTACATAGAAGGGTCAGGGAAGGCCTTGCTGATCAGGGGACGTTTGACCTGAGGTGTGCGTGGGTGAACAGTGAGCCAGGCAGGGATCTAGAGTGCATGCTGGGCAGAGGGGGCAGCAGTGCAAAGGGTGGAAGCAAGCTTGGGATGTTCAAGGAACAGAAAGGAGACCAGTGTGGTCAGAGCCGCGGGAGAGAGGACCTCGGAGAAGGAGGCGGAGGCAAGTTTGTAAAGGGTCTTGGGAGCCGCAGGAAGGAGCCTGGGTTTTATAAAGTCGGTGGGAAGACACTGGAGGGTTTCCAGCAGGGGAGTGGCGTGATGCAATACCCATTTTTAGAAATACCCTGGTTTCTTTGTGCAGAATGTAGGACAGTAGTTCTGGACCAGGGACGATTTTGTCCCCCAGGGGACATTCAGCAATATCTGGAGACATTTTTGTTGCAGTTTGAGGGGTGATGGTGACAACTGGTGTCTAGTGGGTGGAGCCCAGGGATGCTGCTGGACATCTTACAATGCACAAGACAGCGCTCTTCCCCAAACAAAATGTCAGTAGCGTGAGGCCGGGCAAACCCTGATGTAGGGAGCAAGAGCGGTCTGGTAGGAGATGATCATGTGGCTCACACTAAGCGGGCAGAGGGCGAGCTAGAGACAAGACAGCAGATAGGGAGGTGTTGTGGAAGCAGAGCTGCCCTGACAGATGGCTGTGGAAGGTGAGGGAAAAGAATGGGAGAATCAAGACGGACTTGCAAGTTTGGACCTGAGCAGTTTGGTGCACGGTACTGCCATGTCCTGGGATGATGCCCATAAAATGCCCACGTGGAGCCGCTGAGCCCCAGTGGTATAAAATGAAGGGTCATCGGTTCACACATGGCACTTAAAGCCATGGGATTGTCACCTGCCAGTCTCTTTGTTTTATGCCACGTGAATGAATGTAAAATGTCCCTCAAAGAGTACCACCTGGCTAAACACCTTTTCTCCTCTCCCCCCACCCCCCCTCCCCCACACAGGGACCTGCCTAAATTTCCCTTGAACATAGTCTTCTGGTGGCCGCCAACAAGGGAGAAAGTTTGCACTAAAATGGTAGACGAATCTTGGCTTTCACTAGGGAAAGGCCTTAAGCGTCCATGTCTTGGGCTTTGTTTTTTTCTGTGGGGTGGCTGGGTAGCAGCTCCTGGTTCTAGTCCCAGGTCCTCGTGGGATGGTGGAAAAACTTCTGAACTCAGCAGTGGCTCTCACCTGGGGCACTTTTGCCCCGCAGGGGACGCTTGGCAGTCTGGAGATATTTTTGTCATGGCTGTGGGGGGTGGAGGCTACTGGCATCTGGCGGGTGGAGCCCGGGGATGCCGCTGAACGTCCTCCGATGCGCAGGGCGGCCCCCCACCCCACCCTGGACAACAAAGGATTACTCAGCCCAAAATATCAGTAGTACCAAGGTTGAAAATTCTAAAGATTCTAGCAGCTTTAAAAGGTTAGAGCATGGTCCACGGGGGCGGGGCGGGGAACCCCCCACCTCCTAGCTCCATTTGCTGGGAGGGATATTTATGGGACATTTATGGGATATTTACCGCCAGAGGAAAGGCGGGCAGTCTCATCTAGAGGGTGTAAGTGAGCTTGATTCTGCGGGACCTCATGGTGAGGGGGAGTACATGCTCCAGCCAGGCACTGCACTAAATCATTACCCACGCAACTTCATTTAATTATGGGGCAGCGCCCTGGGCTGCCCCGTGGAACAGGGGCTAAGGCCAGGGGGTTGTTATAAAACCCCAGAGGCTACCGGAAGCCTTCTGACTCATAAAACTTCTGCTGTAAACTAATAATTAGGTTTTGGAATTTAGTCTCTGGTGAGCTTACTAATTCTTTTTAACATGACAGACCATGTGCATTATATCCAAACACTCTCTTAATCAGTGTTGTTGTTGTTGTTTTTAATGAACAAAGTAGTTACTTTTTTTTAACAGTGTTTCTTATTAATGCTTTTATTACAAAGGTGATAATGTGTTAAATGTAACATGAAATAATTGCAAAATGTGTAAAGGAAAATTTAATAATTTGTCATCATTCCTTTCCATCTTGTAGAAATCATTAATGTCAGCAACCTGGTGCATACCCTTCCAGACCTCTCTGCATCCCCTGCTTCTGTTCCCCTTTCTCGTCGCACCTTGAAGACTGGTTCGAAGGTTACTGTGGAAAATCCAAAGGCTTGCTTTCTAGAAGACGGTTGGTTCTTTTGAAAGGATGTGGGCTTCTGGTGGCTTCTTTCTGTTTGTCACACTCGTTCCAGAAGAAGGTTTGTCCCCAGTGTCATTTATCCTTGTTTCAAAGTTGAAATCCAGAGAGGCATACACAGAGCAAGAAAGTATCAAAAAAAAAGGAGTCATGAAGTAAAAGAATGTCACGAGACATTTGTCACATATACGGCTTGACAGATCCGATTCCACAGCTTTGGAATGACCCCGTGTGTTAAAGAAGTTTCCATCTGTGACGTGGCATCTAAGGCTGAGCCCAGCATGTGGACAAGAGAGCAAAGTGCAACGCATCCCCTGCGGAGAAAGCCTTTAATGGCTCCATCCACTAATCCCTTAGATTTATCGAGCTGGGTAATAGCCGTGACTTGCCTTCAGTTCTTGCCAACCAGGTTAGTTTGGAACTAAAGATGTGTACAAGTCAGCACCTGTCATCCTCATAATTCATCTATTTATATAAAAGCCGAGAGCAGCTTTCAAAATTCAGCATATGTGTATTGCTGTCAGCTGTGTTGAAAACACTTGAGAGGAAAGAGTGCCTTTCATAGAATACTCTTTCCCAGATCACACAAGCCACGGGAGGAAGCCGCGAGGCTCCCAGCTCAAGCCCTCATGTAGATCCCCCCGGGGTTCCTGGCACTCTCAGGGTGGCTGGCCCAAACGCCTGCCCTGGAGACTGGACCCAGCTTCTAGGGACCTCCTCATGCTGCAGCCTGGAGAAGGAGTTCACTGCTTAAAAACATTTTTGACAGGGTTGGGGTGCCTGGGTGGCTCAGTCGGTTAGGCATCGACTCTTGATTTCGGCTTGGGTGGTCTGAGGGTTGTGCGATCGAGCCCCGTGTCCGCTGTACGCTGGGTGTGGACCCTGCTTAAGATTCTCTCTCTCCCTCTCTAAAAAATACCATCACAGTTGATCTTCACGGTATAGATGGAAAAACTAAAGCCCACAGAAGCCAAAAATAGTTTGGCCAGGAGCAGAGGTTCTGTCGGGTGCTGCTCACTGCCTCCCAGAACGGTTTCTTTTGAGAGCCAAGTAAAGGCAAGCATGGTGTCCCTACGTTTAACTTACAGGGGGCACCGTGGACAACACCAAAAACAGAAAGAGAAGAGAGGCAGCAGTAACACTTACATGGAGTTCTACAGAGCACCCTCATCACCGGGAGATGCCGAAAACATCTCATTATGGTTTCAAAGCTGTTCTTAGGTACACACACGTCATCATGTCTTCTTGATAAATGGGCCCTTTATCATTATGGGATGACCATCCTCCCCCCGCCCCCGGCAATATTCTCTGCTCTGGAATCTATTTTATTTGACGTTGACCCAGCTGCCCAGCTTTCTCTTGAACATCGTTTGGAAGGTGCATCTTTTCCACGCCCTCACTTTCCACCCATTTGCCACTTGGTATTTAAGGCGGACTTGCTGTATTGTGTGTGTAGTTGGATCTTGGGTTTTTCTAACGTAATCATTTCTGCCTCTTAATCGAGTTGTTTAGACAGTTTGCATTTTCTGTAATGACTGACAGGGTTGGGTCGAAATCTACCATCTACCATCCTTTGTTGGCTCACTTACTCTCTTTGCCGTTGAGTACGTTTTAAAGAAATGTAAGTGACAACTCCGGAGGGTTCTTCATATTTACCCCCAACATCCTCAGGGTTGGCGGGTGGCGC